ATTTCTCTGAATTATTTCTCTGACAGGTTGCTTGCCTCCATTGCCTCCATTTTGTTTACTTCCTTTTCTGATGATGCCTGTTTTTCTTTCATATGTGGGTTGGTTCTTTGTTTCACCATGATCTCTCTTCTCCAGGTGTTTGGTTATGTAGTTCTCTCTCTGCTTTCCGTGAGAAGAAGCAGTGCTTGTCTGAGTTCACGTAGTCGCGCTGCTTGAGATCCGTTGTTTCTCATTGTACAAAATTAAAGCCTAAAGGAAACAGAGAAAGAGCTTTCCCACATTTGAATACTTTTTAGAAAATATACAGCAAAGCATACTTGTAGTATTACTATATGTTTAACTAGGATAGTCAGTACATGACAGTAGCCTGCTATTGGAATCTTCATGGAAGCCCGATAAATAGCATACCTTTCCCTGCCCAGCTGCCATGGCTCAGTGGTTGAGCATTGACCTATGAACCAGGAGGTCACAGTTCAATTCCCCGTCAGGGCACATGCCCGGGTTGCGGGCTTGATCCCCAGTGTGGGGCCTGCAGGAAGAGCCAATCAGTGATTCTCTGTCATTAATGTTTTTCTCTCTCCCTCTCCCTCTCCCTTCCTCTCTCAAATCAATAAAAATATGTTTTCTTTTAAAAATAGCATACCTTTACCTGCTACATTAATAAATTAAGAAATAAAGCCATGAAGTAGCAAGAGTAGGCTGAAATATTATCTTTATTGCTCTTAAAAGTTAAATTGGAAGATATGCTTAGAATGAAAACCAAATTGGGTCTGTTTAACTGAACCCCAAAATTAAATAGGCTTACCCACTTAGTCATAGGCAGTGTTTGTGAGTAGTAGCTGAATTGAGCATACCCAGTTTATTCTTTCACAGGTTTACTAATCAGGTAAGTCATTTTAACTCTAGGCAGAGAGAGACTGAGAGACTAATTGAGCTCCCTTCTCAGTGGTAAAAACATCAGAAAAATGTTTGTTTCAATAGAACATTAAGTTATCTTAGTTTAGCAAACTCTTTTTAAATTTGGTTTTGTTTCTTTGATGCTCACTTTTGCCAAAATAGTCTGTATCTTCACCCAGTGAACATTTATTAGGTATAAAATCAAAGAAGAAAAATCTTTTTTATATTTAAAGAAGCTATTTTTTATGTAATCCTCAATTTTAAAAAAATTATAATCCAAATATAAAGTGGTAAATTAAAAATAATTTACACTTTATCTCTGTAAAATGAAACCTGAAAGCTACTTCTGAATGTTATGCTCAAAGAACCATGTTTTTAAAGCATTAAATATGTATTGTACTACAGTATTCAAAATTACATCCTGTTTTAAACTCTTCCAGATTTCTATGCCAAAAAGTTTGTCACATCCTACTTGAGTGCTTATTGTGTGTTTGTAATGTTTTGTATAGTTGGATAGTTCTCTTCAGGAGCTTTTGATCAGGTACAAATGGATATGACAAATATAGAAACAGTACAGGCCAATACATGGAAGGTAGCATAAAAAAATACTTAGTGCTAAAGGGAATTTAACAAAAGGGAGCACGTTTAGTGTATGTATGTGGTGAAAAGTCACAATTTTGCTATTGAGTGCCACACATTATTTCTTCTGAGCTAATCAAAGGGTGTGAGGACATTGGGGCACTGCACAATATGGAACTTTTAACAAATTTCTGTATAATCATTGTTCAAGGGCTGTGCTAATCTCTGTATTCCAGTTTTAGTATGTGTGCTCCCAAAACAAGCATGAACACATTCAGTTTTTGAAGGGATAGACAAGGGAAATAAAATGGCTTTTTAGAAATGCCATCTTATAAGTCTTATTTTTTTGTGATATTCAATATTGATTGAGTCTTAGAATTTAAGATATCAGTATTAGAGTTCCTTTTTTTAAATCTTCACCCGAGTATATTTTTCCATTGATTTTAGAGAGGGTAGAAGAGAAAGGGAAAGACGAGAAACATCGATGTGAGACAAACACATCTATTGGTTGCCTCCTGCACATGCTCTGACCAGAGCCCAGCCGGGGAGGAGCCTGCAACTGAGGTTTGTGCCCTTGACCGGAATCGAACCCAGGATCCTTTTGTGCACAGGCCAATGTACTGTCCACAGAGCCAAACAGGCCAGGGCAGTGTTAGAGTACTCTTATTCTCATTACAGAATAAGTAAAACATCCATTGTAGAAAATTTAAGAAATTCAGAGCAGTTATAAAGGATACAAATATCATTGATAATATCACTACTCACAATGGTTATACCTTCATGTTTTTGTTTAATCCTTCAGGTTATTTTTCTTTAGTAAAATTCAGATCATATTTAATGTATACTACCTTGACTGTTCTTTTCATTTAACGTGATAGTGTGTAAACCTTGAGCATAAGTCTTCAAAAACATTATTTTGCTAGTTTACTATTATGAGGCTAGGATGAAAATTATTTTGTGTGTCTTTTTCTGTAGGCTCTGATTATATCCTTAGGTCAACTATTTTTTTTAATAAATCTTCATTCAGATTATTACAGTTGTTCCTCTTTTTCACCCCGTAGCTCCCCTCCACCTTGTTCCCACCCCACCTCCTGCCCTTACCCATCCCCCACTCCCTGTCCTCGTCCATAAGTGTACGGTTTTGGTCCAGTCTCTTCCCGCACCCCCCACACTCCCTTCCCCCTGAGAATTGTCAGTCCATTCCCTTTCTATGCCCCTGATTCTATTCTATTCACCAGTTTATTCTGTTTGTCAGATTTTTTATTCACTTGATTTTTAGATTCACTTGTTGATAGATATTTATTTGTTGTCACTTTGTTGTTCATAATTTTTATCTTTACTTTTTCTTCTTCCTCTTCTTAAAGAATATCCTTCAGCATTTCATATAATACTGGTTTGGTGATGATGAACTCCTTTAGCTTGTTCTTATCTGTGAAGCTCTTTATCTGACCTTCAATTCTAAATATAGCTTTGGTGGGTAGAGTAATTTTGGTTGTAGGTTCTTGCTATTCATCACTTTGAGTATTTCTTGCTACCCTTGGCATTTTAATTATGATGTGTCTTGGTGTGGTTCTCTTTGGATTCCTTTTGTTTGGGGTTCTCTGCACTTCCTGGACTTGTAAGTCTATTTCTTTCACCAAGTAGGAGAAGTTTTCTGTCATTATTTCTTCAAATAGGTTTCCAATATCTTGCTCTCTCTCTTCTAGCACCCCTATAATTTAGATGTTGGTACGCTTGAAGTTGTCCCTGATGCTCCTTGCACTATCTTCGTATTTTTGTATTCTTTTTTCCTTTTGCTTTTCCGGTTGGGTGTTTTTTGCTTCTTATTTCAAATCTTTGACTTGATTCTTGGGATTCTCTAGTCTGCTGTTGGATCTCTGTATATTATTCTTTATTTCAGTCAGTGTATGCTTAATTTCTAATTGGTCCTTTCTCATATCCTCGAGGGTCTGATTATATTTCTTGGAGGTTTCTAGAAGATTCTTGAGTAACCTTATAACCGTGGTTTTGAACTCTATATCCAGTAGTTTGCTTTCCTCCATTTCTTTCATTTGTGACCTGTTTCTTTGTCTCTGCATTTTGGCTGCTTCCCTGTGTTGATAGAGTGGTTTTGTGTGCTAGGTGTCCTATAGGGCCCAGTGGCTCAGCCTCCCTAATTACCTGAGGAGGACACTCTTGGTGCACCCCTTTGTGGGCTGTGTGCACAGTCTTGTTGTAGTTAAGCCTTGATTGCTGTTGGTATCACTGGGAGGAATTGACCTCCAGGCCAATGGGCTGTGAGGACCAGTGTGTCTACAGTGGGAGAACTTCTGTGCTGGAGACACGCTTATGAGGCAGGACTTACTTCAGTGGGGTCTTGTCTCCCACTGAGTCTGCCCCCTGAGTGTGGGTCTTATGGATGTGAAAAGTTGTAATCTGGATGGTAAGAGTTACAGAGAGATCTACAGATTCCTCCTCTTTGTTTGGTGTTTGGAGGTGCCCAGATGAAGCGCAGCTGTGAAGCAATGCAGGCTGCTGATGAGCCTTCAGCCTTCTTTTGGAAGCTCTGGGGTTTTCTGACCCAGCTACAGTTTGACAGATTTTTAGACAGAGAAAGGCCAGGCCATTAGTATGCAAAAGCCTCTGTGCACAGCTTGGGTGGGGTTGTAAATGGGGTGGGGCAGGGTCTCAGGAAATCACCAGGGCGGAGCAAACAGCAATGGCTGCCAGTCTGCTCTGCCTAGGTGAGGTTCTGGGAACTGTGTCCCGTGACCCATGCAGGAATAATAAACGCTATAAGCACCTCTGTGAGAAAGCCGCCCTCACGTTCCGACCTGATGCCAGACAGTCCAGTTTCTCTCCGTATGAGTCTGGGTCCCCAAATTCTCACCTGGAACTGGAGTTCAGAGCAATCCGGAGCTTTTATCTCCCTCCCGATTGCAAAAGACAACAGCATTACCCGGCTGCCAGCCCCTTTTGCACACGCCTCTGTACCTCACACTTCCACACCTCTGTACCTCCTACCAGACTCAATGCACTTTTCTCTTTCCTTCTAGTTGTAGAATTTCCACTCAGCCAGCCTTCCTGTGGTTCTGGATGATACTCGTTTTGTCTTTTAGTTGTAGTTTTAATGTGGTTGTGCATGGCAGCAAATTCAGGTGTTTACCTATGCCGCCATCTTGGTTGTCTCTAGATCAGCTTTTTAGAAATTGGTTTCTTGAGACATTTTTAAGGCTACAAGGTCATAGTGTCTTGATTACTTATAAATCTTTTGTTGAAGGAAATGCATGCTTACCTATTTTTCCTTCCTGGCATTGAATATATTCAGACTATAATTAGAGTATTTGTAGTTCTATTGTACTGAAATTAAAATATTTCCTTCCATGTTTATCATTTGAAATTTAGTGAATATCTTTGTTTTATTCCTACTCTTGAACATCTCTGATACTTAATTTTGACATGAACATTTAAAAATGTGGGGTTTTTTAAATTTTTCTTCTAGAAAACTAGCCTTACCTACAGGTTTAATTTCTGTATTTCTTCAGGGTTACTTTGAAAGTTGCAACATACACAGAAACAGGATAGCAGGCTTTGAAGTAAAAGCCTATGCTAACCCTACAGTGGTTCGATGTGAAATTCATCATGGGCAGACTGGAGGAATATATGTCCACGAAAAAGGAAGAGGACAGTTCATAGAGAATAAAATCTATGCAAACAACTTTGCGGGTGTATGGATTACCTCAAATAGTGACCCAACGATAAGGTATTTATATGTATTATGAATGGAAGTTACTTTTTTACTTTGTTTTGTAAGAAAAGTCAAGAGCCCTAGCCGGTTTGGCTCAGTGGATAGAGCGTCAGCCTGTGGACTGAAGGGTCTCAGGTTTGATTCCAGCCAAGGGCACATACCTGGGTTGCGGGCTCGATCCCCAGTGTGGGGCATGCAGGAAGCAGCCGATCAATGATTCTCTCTCATCATTGATGTTTCTATCTCTCTCTCCTTCCCCCTTCCTCCCTGAAATCAATAAAAAAATTTTTTTTAAAAATCAAGATACTTAGCTTAACTCTTAATGTTTTTCCTAGACACCTGACTACTATAAAATAATTTTTCCTAGTAAAAGTCTGTACACCTGAATGAGCATAGCTATTGCATTTATTTTTTGTGTGTGTCCTGTTCACTTTTTATTAATGATCTAAGCCATGTACGATATTACTTTCTGAACAGTTCTAAATGCTGTGATTTTAACTTTAAATTCATCACAATGCATTGTAGATGAGTAAAAAGGGCTCTGGCCTTCTATTAGAACCAGAATGACCTGTCTCTTTTTTTTTTTTTTTTTAAGAATAGTTTATTGATTTTTAGAGAAGGGGGGAGAGAGAGAGAAACATCGATGTGAAAGCTCAACATTAATCAACTGCCTCTTGCACGCCCCCTACAGAGATTGAGCCAGCAACCTCCTTGTGCATAGGGCAACACCCAACCAACTGAGCTACAGCAGCCAGGGCATTTTTTGTTGTTGTTGTTGGTTGGTTGGTTTTTCTTAAGAGTCAGCCAATAGAATAACTCAGGAAACTAATTATGTCAAAGATTTTGATCAGAGAGACTAAGAATAATAAAAAAAAAAAACTTAAACCTGACGTGCTTTTTTTCCTTTTCTTTCTTTTTTTTTTTTTAATTGATTTCAGTGAGGGAGAGAGAGACAGAAACATCAATGATGAGAAAGCATCATTGATCGGCTGCCTCTTGCTTTGGATCAAGCCCACAATCTGGGCATATATCCTGATCGGGAATCAAACTGTGAAACTCCTGGTTCATAGGTTGACACTCAACCACTGAGCCATGCCAGCCAGGCCTGTCGCTTTTCTTTAATAGTTTCTGCCACTCCCTCTGGCCACAGTAAGGAAACAAATAGATCCGGTCTTATTTATTTACTTACCTACTTACGTTAATCCTCATCCGAAGATATTTTTCCCATTGGTTTTTACAGTGTGGAAGGGAGAGTGGAGAGAGAGAGAAACATCAAATGGTTGCCTCCTGCACATGCCCTGACTGGGGCCCGGGATGGAGCCTGCAACCAAAGTAAGTGCTCTTGACCACCAGAATTGAACCTGGGACCCTTCAGTCCATGGGCCAACACTCCAACCACTGAGCCAAACCAGCTAGGGCAATAGATCCAGTCTTAATGGCATTGGGTTAAGACTGTTGTACAGAACTATTATAATTTAACTAGAGGCCTGGTGCACAAAAATTTGTGCACTCAGGGGGCACCCTTCAGCCCGATCTGTGCCCTCTCACAGTCTGGGACCCCTCGGGGATGACCACCTGCTGGCTTAGGCCCGCTCCCTGGGGATTGGGCCTAAGCTGGCAGTCAGACATCCCTCTGGCAGCCCGGGAGCCCTCGGGGGATGTCCACTTGCCAGCAGGGAGCAGACCTAAGCTGCAGTCCGACAACC